TTTTTTTTTTTTTTTTTTTTTGTATTGTCTCACTCTTGTTTTCCCGATTTATTCGTGTCATCCTTGCTGTGCAAGGGGCATGCTAATCCTCTCTCCATCGTTCCAATTTTCACGGATGTCTTGTAGGATTTCTCTGAGGGTTTAAGACGAGCCGGATATCCGAAATTGATTCACATTATGAAGAAAAAATGCGAAAAAAATTCAAAAAACTTCAAAAAAGAAAACCCGGGTGGTGGCCGGGGTACAAAGTACCGAAAGTTCCTCTCGACATCGTTCTATCCAATGCATCCTCTCTTTGCTTCCCAACTCTCGCCACTCCTCCCGTGATGAACCTCCTGAAGCCCTCCTCCCTCCTCCACCCCCTCCGCCCCCCCCTCCCTGTCTCCCCTCTCTCTGCCACCTTGTCATGGAGAAGAAGAGATGATGTGCCATTGAAGGAACGACCCCTTGAAAATGGGATTTGAACTTCGACTGCCGTACTGCCGGATAACACCTACACCAGGGTCTCCTGTAATCGCAAAGTGATGGAAGAAGCAACGATGGAAAAAGCAATGTCATTTCGCTCCCTGAAAAAATGCGACGATTGATGGAATCAGTGACAAACAGGGCGCCGGGTTTCCCCTTTTCCGGGTTTTCCCTTCCCAAAAGAGAGGGAACGGGGGGAGGAGGGGGGGGGGCGGCAGGGCGGGGGGCTGGGCTCTCGTTTTCACAGCTGCAATCGCTGAAAGCGTCGACCGGTTGGTTACTTGGATTTGAACCACCAAGGTGGGTGGTGACCCAATTTCCCTTTCCCTGAACGACAAATGCATGACATGAATGTTCGCTCTTGATCGACTGTTGGATTAACGAGTAGACGGAACCGTTTGTGTTTCTCTTCTCACTCGAGTTGAGCCGCACAAACGTTGCTGGCCACAGAGTCATACACACAGACGCCCTCACACACAAACACGTACACGCACACAAGCACACAGTCACAGAAACCGTCTATTACATTCACCCCTGTTTTTTGGAGTTGTGTTAGCGAATACGAAACACACTCACACGCCCACACGCCCACACGCCCACACGCCCACACGCCCATACACACGCACATACACGCACATACACGCACATACACGCACATACACGCACATACACCCGCACATTCACGCACATACACCCGCACATTCACGCACATACACGCACATACAGGCACATACACGCACATACACGCAGATTGCGGGTTTGGTAAGAGTAAAGTCGACCCAGGCACGTGGATTTGAAGGCTGGAACTTGAAAACAGGAATCTGGAATGACGAATTTGATTGATCAGTTGATTGATCAGTTGATTGATCAGTTGATTGATCAGGCTGTGAGAGGAGGTTGGCGCCAGGGTAGAGCCCGTTTGTTGTGGGGAGAGAGAGATCAGGCAAAAGGGAGGTGCTGAAATTAAGGTGCTGAAAACTGATCTGAGGGCAAAAAAGGACTCGGAGAACGCTTTACGCATGAATAGATGAACGTTTTACAATGCTCTAGAAGTTTGACTTCTCAGGCAATTTGTCACTATGGCCTAAGGTCTTTACCCGAATAGATCGCCCGGTCATCCTTGCTGTATCTTGACTCTCAGAGTTGCACCAAATGCACCTATAATGATCGGGCGCTCTGTTGCGCTGAAAATGGCAGTAGTACAAAGAGTCGTTGTATCATTTGTTTTTTTTTTTTGTCTTTTTGACGTGGAAGTATCATGCCATCAGGTTAGGTGTACAAGAAGGAAAGTCCTTAGAGTCAGCCTAGAATGATCATAGAACCTATTTGTGAGGCGTGCTTTTACACTTGTTGACATGGCTTTGGTGGAACGTAATGCGTGCTTTTACACTCGTTGACAGGGCTTTGGTGGAACGTAATGCTCACAGCATGACCCCATACCGACGTTGTAGCGGGCACTTCTCATGCAGGCCGGGGACCCTTACCCAAGAAATGCTTTTGTTTTTGTCTTTTTGACGTGGAAGTATCATGCCACCAGGTTAGGGGTGTACAAGAAGGAAAGTCCTTAGTCAACCTAGAATGATCATAGAACCTATTTGTGAGGGGCGTGCTTTTACACTTGTTGACATGGCTTTGGTGGAACGTAATGCTCACAGCATGACCCCATACTGACGTTGTAGCGGGCACTTCTCATGCGGGCCGGGGACCCTTACCCAAAAAATGTTGGAGTGGGTGGGAAGCGGGCCGGGTGCCCTTACCAATTTTGAAGTGGGTATGTACAGTGTACTTTTTTTTTTTTCCTTTTCTTTTTTTTTTCTTTTCTTTGCAAGGAAGCCCCTTCAATTCTGGGGGGCGTTAGTCCGGTTACTCATCCCCGGCAAGTATATATATACTGATTCACAATGTGACGATATATACATATACAGTTCTGTTTGTGACGATATATATATAATATATATATATCGTCACAAACAGAACTGCCCGGTAAACCGTAGGCAGAGAGAGAGAAGAGGACAACAAACGAGGGGCTGTGATATATATGTTCATGCTTTTCATGCTGCACAAGACGAGACTGGTATATGAAAGGATCCTTGGAGGCTGAAGGCCCTGGAGCCTTAAAGCACGGGGGACACATGAGATCATTTCACGAGCAATCAGAGATAAGCACATTAGCACATCGTCAAACTAAACCGATCTGAACTAAAGCTCAGATTCACATATTCGGGGGGGGGAGGGGAGGGAGGGGGAGGGAGACTCAGACTCATATGCCGCATTTGAGAGATTGAGTATGTGTGTTTTTCTTGAAAGGATCTTACCAAGTTATGCTATTTGGAGGGAAAAAAAAAAAGAGAATAGCGTGCTTGGTATTGCTCAGAGCTGGTGTTTTCAGTTTAGATGTGGATTAACCGACCAGGTCCTCCCAAATTTCGAAGCAAGTCGGGATCGCTTGCGTAGTAGGTCAACCAACTTTGACTTGGAGCCCCATACCATACAGTCAGCCATGGGGCTCTCTCTGCTGCTGAGGTGCTGTCAGTAGAGGCCCAGGGCATTTGTGCTCCAGAGTGATCTTTGTCGCCCTATTTTTTTGATCTGGCCGAATCGACTGTCATGCTGAATCATCGGCGTGTCTCGAGAGTGATCTGTGTTGCGATGCACCTTGGGTTTCATAGCTGTCCAGTGTAAGTGGAACCTGCTGTTTCCGTTGCTGCGAGTAGGAAGTAGCCTTCCTTTTTTAGTCACTTTTTGTTTGGGAAAGGTCTGTTTCCATGGAGAAAACCGTAGCAGGGTGCTAGTGAAGTCGTGGTATATAAAAAGAAAAAAAAGAAAAAAACCTGAGTGAGGACGCCGCCCGGCTGGACCCAGCCGGTTGGGCCCAGGGGGGCCGCCCGGGTAAACCGGGCAGGACAAAAAACCGCCCAGAATTTTTTTTTTTTTTTGAAACCGGGGTCGTTCTGCGCTCGGTGAGAGGACCCGAATCTGTAATAAAATTTTGGTTTTGGTGGGGGGATGGGGGGGTTGGTCTGGGGTGCTGGGGTTGGGGGGTTGTCTGTGATGGGGTGCAGATGCGTTTTTTTCTTCTTTTTTTTTTGTAAGGGGTGTGTGTGTATACAAGGGGGGGCGAGAGAGAGAGAGAGAGAGAGAGAGAGAGA